TATATATATATATATATATATATATATATATAAATTGCTGCAAGAAGTGGCATACATTTAGATAAGTCAACTATATAATGTAGGTAGATTTTAACTATAAGGTTGAACCATGTTCCATGTCAAGGGTAAGTGTCAGACTGACTGAGGCAAGTTGTCACATTTATTGGTTTAATCAGTGCATCGTTTCTTAATGACAGGTTTCATTATGGCAGCTTACTTCACTGAGACATTTTTCCAGAAATACTCAAGCTGTGTTCAGTGAATTGTATATTGTTTCCTGGTCAATAGTTTTCGAAAGCTTTTTGTAGTAGAGACTTTAGGTTATTTCTGTACAGCAGTGGTCACCAACCTTTTTAGGCCCAAGACCCCTGACCTCGGCCTTTATGAAAGACAAGATCTACCTATTGAAGAATTGATAGAAAAAGACACCCCAGGTTGAACTTCAAATTTGATGCCTTTTACTTAGGATTTTAATTAGTGATGCGCCGATCATAGCTGATTCAGAATTCAGATTTTATTTTCTTTTTTTTTTTACAAGCAAATTGGATTCTGATATTGATTTTTAAGCAAGTGCATTTATTGGCTATTTGCTTTATAACAAACAAACTGGCTTTAAACACAAATATCTAGTCTATTGAAATTAGAGGCAACCACTGCATTTTAATCATGATCTGCACGGGCAGTTGTTTTTGATTTGATTTAGATTAATTTCAGGATTTAAAACAAAAACAGAATGGTCTGACTTTAGGTGTTATTTATTTATTTGCTACATAAAACATCTGCACGAAACAAAAACAGCAGGTCTGAATGAGACGCACTCTCTGACAGCAGGTGGCGCCTATGAACAGGGTTGCCAGGTTTTCGCAATCAAACTAGTCCAATCATGTTTCGAGGGGGGTTCCCCTGTAAAAATCGCATTCCGGGGGTAAAATACACGTTTATCGGCGGGAATCTTCCAGTAGAATTCACATTCCAGGGACTAAATATCACGTTATTGGGGTCGCTTC